TGTTTCTTTGTTATATTAAACAAAATTTTCAATTCTTGTGAAATTTTTGTTAATATATATTAAAAGTTTTATGATAAATATTTGTACATCAATGTACATGAAAACCAATGTTCCGTGTCGTAGCTTATAAAAAAAAATCGGAACTAAACGGCACTTGTTTTGTGTAATTAGCATCTTTTTGTGATCATTTTCAAAATTGATACAAAACATCTGAATCATCTTTAAAGCGGTGCACTTACGTACTAAACACTCAAGGATATTGACCGAAAGGCATCTGTGTGATGATGCAATGATCAACTCCCGCTTCTGAATTCCATTGAACACATTTGGGATTTTTATAAGGAATGTCAAAGCCCCTCTACCTCTTCACACATTTCAACGGTTTGGAAAGATCTATGCAGTAGGTGTGGCAGCAGATGGGTCAATATCCTATTCAGGGGTACATGGTTTACAACAGTAAAGGATGTCTTGAAGTAATTAGAGCGAGTGGTGGTCTTACTCCATAAAGATTATTTTGCGTGAATTTTCATTTTGAGGGCGCACCATTTCCTTGACACTTTGCTTAAAATTCTGACAAGATACTTACTTGTGAACTAGTACCATCAAAACTTTGGATTGAGTATTATTACTCACATGAACTTATTGTTCCTTCAACGCTGTTGAATTTACAATTTATTTTAAATGTAGACAAGTAATTAAATTGTTAGAAAAGTCAAAATTTATAATAATAAGGTGTGATATTCAAGGAAAGATGCCATTCTTTCTCACGAATGTTCAAAAATAGGAAATACAATTGATCATTGGTAATTTGGTTTACTAACAATGATAAAACAATGATAAAATCGAAATATTACACAGCTTGATAGAATTAAGTTCTCTTCAATTATTATGATTGAGCTTTTAATCAAAAACAGAATTAAAGACATGAACATGAGAGTAATAAATTTTGCAAACAGTAATGCACAAACTTGATTTGTTTTATTTCAATTGAATAATTTATTGCAAGATCAATAAAGTGTATAAAAAGTTTTAAATAATTTGATATACACATTCAATTCATGATATACTGTAAACAAACTTTTATTTGCGACGACTTTATTTCGCGATTTACTGGAGGGAGAGGGGGGGTAAGCTAGTTCGCGGTGATTATATTTGCAATCAAGCCTCTTTAAAAATCCGTTGTTAATAGACACAAATACTGTAGGGACCGGTTCACGATGACGCAGTTCTCACGAACCTCGAAAACGTAACTAGCACGCGAATAATAGTTGGTTTACAGTACATTTAATATACACCTTTTCTAAAAGCGTCGGATAGTTTTGTGTGTTACATACAGAAATCGAGAGTCGTGTTTAAAAAGAATATTATGATCGCTTTTAAATAATAAAGAAATTGGGTTTGGGGCCATAAAACAAGTATGTATAAGCTTATCTAGAAAAATTTTTTAAAAAGAATTATGGTCAAAACCAAACGTATGATTCCAAACGAACCCTTTTCTTTTTCACTCTCACCTCGTATAGCACAGCTTTTTTAAAAATTAATTATTTTGTATCAGTGTTTGGTATTTCAGCAAAATGAAATTAAGTTCATTATGACAGAAAAGATTTATTCCAGGAAAAAAATATTTCTAGTGAAATATATTGATATAATATAAGGAACAGTGTTCGAGCTCTTACGTCTATCTAACAATACAAAATTGGAGCAAAGCAAACCCGGAAGTCCAAATATATCAGAGGTGGGATCAGGAGCCATGGAGGAGTGAGCATCCCTTGCCACACTACTCGTGTGCTCCACGCCATGATCAGAAAATAATGAAAAAATCCGTCGTCATTGCTGTGCTTATATAATTGATTAACAGTAAGTATAAAAACATCAATCAGAATTTGACTGCATGATAAATTGTATTTGCTGACAAAGTCATTGTATTGACCATAGAACATAAAAATGATTACTTTAAACGAGACTGCTGTTACACTCGTAAAGACTTTATATTATAAAGATTTTCAAATACAAGTCCATCTCATATGACAGACTAGGAAAAACAAGTAGCAATGGCATGTGCTTGAGAAACATCGTGTTTCATATGGCAGACGGCATTCTTTTCAAAAGTAGGTCAAACTCACTGGATAAAGTGATCGATGGGTCATATTTGTTACAGAATATTTTAATGTCTTAGCACCAACAGTTCAAACTTCATAAGGTCAATCTTCATTTTTTTCTAAAATGTGTCAATCTCAGCGGTCTATGTCAAAAATCAAATGGTTGTATTCGAGACAATGTCTTGTTACACGTCACATAGCTCATTACATGCAAACCTAATGGGGAGGGGGGATTACGTTTATCAAAAAAGAATTATTAAAACAGATATGTATGTAACATATGACAGCCTTTACAACAGCTGTACTAGTCTTAATGTTATAATTTAGTAAAGTTTTCCATTAAAAAAAATTAAATCTAAGGTCAGATCTAAAGATCAAATATGATGGTACCCAAAGAAAGATCTTGTCACATGAAATACAAATGCAACAAATGAAGACTAAATTAAAGCTTTATCCATTCAGGAGTTACTATCAAGATTAAAAGTTTTTGGAGACAACCAGACAGACATCTTGTCGGGCTGACGAACAGTGTAAAAACTACATACACGCTTTTTACTTTTCGTCGTTCTTTTCCTAATGCTGATTTAATTATTAAAGAAATCAAGATCTGTTGAAGGGGCCTTTTCTAATATGTCTCCCACTGGCGAGCTGTGCTTAGGATCGAGAATCCTCAAATAATATTATGACCATTTGAAGCATACAAATGTTTTACTTTAGATTTAAGTACAATAAACTTTAAATTTGAATAACTTTTGATTTGTTTTTTATTCTGAATACCAATTCGAGGAAAAGTATCGTATTACAGAACCATATGTATGTAACATATGACAGCCTTTACAACAGCTGTACTAGTCTTAATGTTATAATTTAGTAAAGTTTTCCATTAAAAAAAATTAAATCTAAGGTCAGATCTAAAGATCAAATATGATGGTACCCAAAGAAAGATCTTGTCACATGAAATACAAATGCAACAAATGAAGACTAAATTAAAGCTTTATCCATTCAGGAGTTAATATCAAGATTAAAAGTTTTTGGAGACAACCAGACAGACATCTTGTCGGGCTGACGAACAGTGTAAAAACTACATGCCCTCAAATCTTTAATTACGTTGGCATTAAAGTAAAATCACTCTCCTGCTATCTCGTAATTATGAGATTCCGTAAACTATTATTGTTATAAAAAGAAAGCAATCTTGTTTTTCCGAGAAAAACATCTCTCAATTAATCATCACGGTAACGCACTGTTTCTTTACATACACGCTTTTTACTTTTCGTCGTTCTTTTCCTAATGCTGATTTAATTATTAAAGAAGTCAAGATCTGTTGAAGGGGCCTTTTCTAATATGTCTCCCACTGGCGAGCTGTGCTAAGGATCGAGAATCCTCAAATAATATTATACTGACCATTTGAAGCATACAAATGTTTTACTTTAGATTTAAGTACAATAAACTTTAAATTTGAATAATTTTTGATTTGTTTTTTATTCTGAATACCAATTCGAGGAAAAGTATCGTTTTAAGAACCATTTATTCCTACAACCATAAAATTTGGAAACAGTCTAAATACGGAAAATACACAAGATTAGTGATTAAGGAGGAAATGATTTCGCAGATGCAAAAAGTGGAAGCAAGTCAGATTCTTGTTCAAAATTTCAGTTTCATTAGATTTTTTATCATAAAAGCAACGCAAATTTTGTATTGAGGATACTGTAAATTACCTACAATTGAATGAAATACCGGGTACTTTTTACTTGTGAATACATTCATCTGCATAAATGAACAATAAGATTATAGAAGACATATATAATTTCAGAATGACATCATAACGTTTTTACTCACACGTAATGCATGATTATTCTTCATCGTTGATTACTACAGAACTTCATTCGTGTGTACATTTTAAGTCCTACTTGTCAAAGAGAAGATATATATAAGGACTTTGTTGATTTCAATTACCTTATCATCAGAACGAATATATAAATATTACTATTATTTCTTTTATTTTTATTATCATTACATGTATTTTTATATATAAGGGTTTACTTTAATTTCATTTTGAAACCTAGAAGTGAACGTTTGCCGTAGGGAATCGCAAAGAAACGGGAAAGAGTGATCACGTTTTTCTTTCACAAAAGCCATTTTTATTTATTTAGTCTTATTTTAGAGCACGTGCCGATAACAGAAGGTTGCTTATGAGCCATTCTTGATGTAATTGTCTTATGTAATTCAAGAAAACAACCAATAATTAAAAGAGTTTATGAGCTCAAACTGTATCATTTTTTCGTGTAAAAAAACGAAATAAAAGCACTCAAAATTTCCAACCAGATTTTTAAGAACAGATGCCACAAGCAAACAATAGATGTCTGGATTGTTATATATTTCTTGTCCTATTTTTGTTGCAGATGAAGCATCTAATAAATTTCCAAAATATTAAGGAATTGTAAACCTTCTATGATGTTCAAAATTCTACTTGTCTGCAGCAAACCTCATTACATTATACAAACATTTTTCACTTAAAATTTCTTCATTGTATGTACTTCTTGACACTTTATCATGTTTGTCATTTTTTGTTTGCGTCATTTTTTTCTTAAGTCTTTCGTAAAATTCAGTAATCTGAGAACTTTCAAATGAGCTATTTTTTAAATAAAAAACACATAAACGCTTCAGATGCTGAAGGATCAGCCAAAATTGATAGTTTTTTTTTACACTTCAAGAAATCCCTTTCTCTCACGAAATCAGACAAATGACAGCAAATCTAGCGTAACTAAACTAGTCTTTAAAATAATGACTGATAACAGATACATATTTTCATACAGGCATTTTATTGTGGGGTGTTTTAAATGGTTAGTAATTTTTATTAATTAAAGTTTTTGTTTAGCTAACGTTTGTTGTAAAGGTACTTACTTTTCGTTTTGATGAGGCTTGGCGTTCATCTTGTCTCTGAACAGATTCTCCCGGTATTATTTTTATCCAGATCATGTAAGCAATGCGGCTATAAGTCAAAGTCAGTACTAATAACGGAATAAAATACTGAAGAAGCATGATAAAGAGACTGTAGGGTGACCTCAACCTTTCGTCCATGTCTTCATAGCACCTGCCCTTCTGGCATACGCCTGTTCTATTTTCAAATGCTATTTGAACTTTCCCTGTTATGGCAGTTGGGATAGGAACTATAAATGCTATTAGCCACACTGCTCCACAGATACACACCGCTCCCTTGTGAGTTAGTTTTGGTCTCAGTGGATAAATGATTGCCGCATACCGATCCGCACTCATAGCAACCAGGGTGAAAGCACTGGCAAATACGGTCACGATCTGAGCGTACAGAACAAATGGACACATAAAGCTTCCGAAAGGCCAGTATGCAAGTATAAGGTTTGGAATAAAAGAGAATGGAACCAATATAAGTGTTTTCATGATATCAGCAACTGCTATGTTGAGCAAAAAAAGATTTGTAACACTTTGAAGCATTTTCTCTGTGATTATAATGTAGCAAACAACAAAGTTCCCGACCAGAGCAACAACGGTTATTGAAGAGTAAAGAATCAAAAATACACATTCTGTGAGTTCTATATTTGAAACACAGTCATCTTCGAGTAGAATTTGGCCACTTTGGTTTGACGTGTTTGCAGTGTCATCCATTTCAAAAAGTATGTGGCGCTGCCTCTGAAAGCTATAGTCGTTGCATATGACAAGCGGTCTATACCGATAGGCTTAGACGAATGTCGCTCTGCAAATGATCGACCAACCTGGCTTACTCAGTCTTTATATGATTCATGAAGTCGATTCAATGTATAGTTTATGCATGCAATAGAGCAGAGCTTGGATCAAAAAAGGTTTAAATTTAAGTAGTATTCTATTTTAAGAATGACCTAGCTTCATACATCCGAACATTTAGCTCTTTGTTACATATTGCACAGATATTTATTTATAAGTCCCAATTTGAGAAACAATTTACAATTTTCAGAGTATAGATTTAGCTCTAAATAAGTAACAAAATGAGTTTGTCGGTTTGGGGTTTTTTTAAGGGGGGGGGGGGGTCACACTAAAATGTAAAACATTTTTTTTTCAAGAAAATAATAGGTAATTGAAAGATCTTTCAGCATTGCATAAATCGGAGAGGTGATCTGGTGAACATGCTCGCTAACAGATACTAGTATATTGGCTGTGAATTTCACACTGAATCAAATGTCATTCACTATTTATAGAACATTTATTACGGGTTTATATCCCTTATTTTTAATATAGTTCTCAAATTTAACCTTATATACCTGGTTTCAATAAACAGTGTTGTAGCGAAAGGAATTAATTTTAATGTTGTTCTTTATTGCTTTCTGTTTTATTTATTTTAGGTTTTTGCTTCAGGAAAGGAAATTATATTTTTGAACAATTATTTCCTATTCAATTCTTGACAATTTTACCCAGAAAAAAGGGTGAATCATAGGCTTAAAAAGTAACCTCAGATCTAGAGTTATTTTCATGCCACAATCAATTCATCATTCAAGAGAACTTGCAAAACTATAAACAATATTAATCCGGGACTAAGGCATACAACATGAAGCCTGAAAATTCCATAGGCAAAATAATTAGGTGCTAATGAGGAGTAAATATCCCCTGTGACCGGTCATTTCCGCCGTGCGTCCTATGTTTTGAGTTAAATAGAACATTCCATAGTCAGTTCAAATTAAAAACAAACGCCAAACAGTTGGATAAAGACATTTCAGCCAAAATGCGACACGACCCGACGATAGATTAAAGGTCCTATCGTCATCATTTTAACGACCATTAAAATTGCAAAAATTCTGGTTGTAAATGAGGACGTATGGCCAATTAACAATTGTGATTTTCATTCTTATGTCGATAGCATATATTCCGGTGAGCTTGAGATTGAAGATACCACAGAGTGTGAAACATCTGTTACATATTTGGATATTTTACGTGAAAAAGACGTAACTAGTAATCTATGAATATAAATGAGACTAAGTTGATTTAAATGTATGTGAATTTATCCTTTCAGCAAAGATCGGACATAAGCTTTTTCTTTTGAATTCTAAGTACTAGTAATTGCAACATAATTATTAAGAAAAAGATATCGGAACTGATATCTAATATATAATTCTAATTCTCACACTAATGTGCTGCAGGACTGTTGTGTTTATTACCTACATTACGAGACAGCTTAATTTAACTTCTGTATTATTTCCTAGGATCCATGTTCAATGAAAAAAATTTAGAATTTTGTCATCACATTTCTTTCAAGATAGACTCAGTGCCCACATGAACTTGCAGAAGCACTATTTTTAGTCATAAATGAATGGGTGCTGATGCTGATGAAATATTGAATGCAATGAAAAATTTTATCTTTAATCTAATCAAAACTTCACAGGAAGGGACAAGGGTATAAGGCTGTTTATCGTTTTATTAATTTTACATTTTCATTTGGTAACTTGAATTCTATCTGCATCACTAGACTGATCCCTGAGATGAGTGGTGTGACCGGTCGACAGGGGATACGTACTCCCCCATCATGCCTATGGAATCTGATCCCACTTCTGACGTTTTGGAGGTCCGTGTTTGTTCTACTTCTATTTTTATTATTTATTTTTATAGTTTATTGAATTTTGAGCTTGAATACTTTTCATTATCTTCAAATATTTCATGACACCAAAAATACCTTTAAAAGGAAAACATACTCATTAAACCCACCTTAAACCAAATGAGATCTCGTATTCAATATAACTTTATATGTATCCATAAGGTCTACTTTATGCACATTAAAGTCAAGAACTGCCAGCCATTAAGAACTCAAATACTGCAACCATCACTAACTATGTACTGACCGCCTTCAACGATTATCTCTGTAAACGTTTAATGACTTAAAAAATCTTTACCATTACTTTAAATTTAAAGATTTTTTAAACTATAAATATCGTAAACCAAAAATATCAATAAGGTTATACTGCTAGGACTAATCATCAAATCAACTCATCAACCAAATTTTCACATACGACATAGCCGCTAAAAAATTCGGCTCACTGACTTTTCAGTTATGAATGATCCGTCCAAAAATGTCATTTCATATCATGTATAGACGTAAAAGGCAATTTTAATGCCTTGAAAAAGATTAAATAAATATATAAAGAAGAGTGAACGATGTCAAAACGTCACTAAACAATATAAATCTGTGAACAGAACATACAATATGGACGCCTGGAAATTCTTTGATATTTTGGTGCAAGATCAGGAGTACTGCCAAGTATAGTAAGGATCCTTTGTTGACAATTCAAACTCGCCATAAAATAAATGTTTTGATCAGGAAGATACGAAAGCCCAGAAGGCTCATTCGAGATTCAAGTTTCGAAATACGAAATTCGAGATTCGAAATTCGAGTTTTGAAATTCAAGATCCATACTAACCAATCAAAAGCGGGTTCCACATTTGACTACTTCCCTTTATTATGTTTTTACTATCAAGAATTCGTTGATTATATTTATAACAATTTGACCATTTACTAAAATGATAATGCAAGAAAAAATATTTTATGTATTAAAACGAACTAAAAATAAAATTTATATTAAATCTTGAAAAATACATATATAATATTATTTTTCTCATTAATCAAAACAGTAAATACGTATAATTATATAGAATATTACATTGTCTTATCGATGACTTGCAGTAGAAGTAGGTCGACTTTTCCATCAGATCATTGCTGAGGGAAAATACTGTTATTGATAATAATAAGTTATGAAATATCATGAATCGTCTCTACACTGTACACAGTAATGCAAGGATTTATATTTCATTACATTGTACATTTATAAAGGTTACATTTGTGCAGCTGAATCGACCTGTAGCTTTATAAGGTCTTCCGAGTATATTTTAATCTTTGACCATAACGCTATGGTCAGAGACTAAAATATAAAACCATAACGCTATAGTTCTGCAGCTAATTTAGACTAATGTACTGTTTGATGTCAGATCAAATGAATGCTGCATTTATTTTAATTCATATTGGCAATTAAGCTGTATTACATATAATTGTTAATTAATTCAAGAAATCAAAGCCTTAGATGAAGATAAGTAATTGAAAACTTTATTTTTATATATACCCTCTATTAGGAAAACGAACGCGGTTTTTATTTATCAAAGCTACATTGCCTTTCAAGTTTTTAAAGTAACATTTTCAGTGTCGGGAAAAATGGGCAGGTGTTGCGGGTAGGGTTGGGGATTTTGTTAATCTTTCGACACTATTTATAACTTTATTATTATGTCAACGACTCTTTAAATAAAGTAGACAATGCAAATATATATATATATATATATATATATATATAGTCATAATATAAATGAAGTATATCTTGCTGATCAAAAATCCAATGATTATTTAATTTTCCTTCATATATATATATATATATATATATATATATATATATATATATATATATATATATATATATATATATATATATATATATATATATATATATATATATATATATATATATATAACACTCTTTCTTGCATTGTAATTTAATCAAATGACTCATCAATAATAAATATATTAAACGATTTATTGATAGATTTTCGTGCTTTGAGAAAATACTGTAGAAATACATTTTTCCGCGTGGTATTATTTTACGCTATGTACGCTGTCACAAATCTTCCACATAAATTTCTCCAAGCGTACTTAATATTAATGTAAGACATATAGTGACAGTTTAAGAAATCCGCGTAATTTTCTACCCGCGGATTAAATAAAAATTGTGATACGGCGGAATTATGACCTCGCGGGAAAAAGTACATCTACAGTAATGTGGGTTCTTGGGGATTTAATTTCGTGGCTAAAAATTTTGAGTAGTTATTTGTATGACATTTTACATGGCGGAGAACTTTGTGGATCTCTTCTTATCTCTAAAACAACGAAAATTTAACCCAACACGAAAAATAGTGATTTCACAGTAGACCAAAATAAAACTCAACGGTAGGTTATGATAAATTTAATGTTATGGTGTAGAAAGATATATTAGAAACTTCAAGAGTACTGTGTAACGATATATTCAAGAAGTGGTGAAAATCAAATGTAGATATTTAAAAATTCCGATGAACTTTTGGACAATTTGAAATCATAAGATTTCACCAAAACCAACAGCTTAAAAACCTACGATTTTTCAACTTTACACATAACCATTCCCCTCAGGGGGTGGGGGGGGGCATGACACGTAGAGTAAAAAATAACATACGTGTGCATATCAAATACGTCGCTTTTTAAGAACTCCCCAGATTTGTAAAGGAGACTGTCGTACGTTATCCATATATAGTTTTATTATCTGAACATATATCACTTTTCTGAACAGATGTTCCAAATCGTAAGGAATTGCAAAAATACCCATATTCTTAATCTGACATTAGCATAGTTTGAGCATAGTTTGAGCATTTCTGTCACTTAGCTTTGATAAATGTTATTACATGTGATTCAGTTTTCATAAGTATTAATTCATGTGTAGATTTCCTGATATGTGATTGAGCCCAATCAATCTTCAGCAGGCTTTCGGATTGAAGCCTGCTTGAAGATATGAATCTAACTACGAGTATTTAATATTCAAAAAAGTGTATTTAATGTGTTCTACAAATTTTTTGTACGGGTTTGATTGACACATCCTGATCCTTGTACTTTCA